AAGGGGCAACTTATCAAGTTATAGCCAGTTTAAATTTGACATGGAAACATGCATCGTAACATGCCTTCCCATTTCCACAGTAAGACAGCATATTTGAAGCCAACGTGGAGCCCAAAGGTCTTATACTTTCCTGGAGACTGCTGCACTCTGCTCCTAACTGACCCTCAGGAAGGTCTGAGGCATTCACATACTGCCAGCAAGCATCTCTGGCACCAGGGGCACCTCATGGGCACCTGCTTAGACCCCCCTCCACAAGTTCTTCAAACTGACTAGCCCCAATGTCATGACTGATGGGTCAGTTTTTATTATTAGGGGGTAGAACCCCATGACAATTCTGAAGCCCACCTCCCATTAAATCACTGGGAGAGAGCAGCAACGTGTTTACTGGAGGGAGACAATGTTTCTAGGACTTGTCCAAACTTCCTCCCCTACATGCTCAACCATCTTGTGCCTGGGAACCCGGAAATTTGAAGTCTTAATCTCAAATGTCAATCAATACCCCATGAATTTTTCTCAGTCACGTCAAATGCCTTACTGGATTTTCCTTGTGTAGGCGATCACTAGGAACTGGCGCAGGGAACAGTCGCTCCAGTTCGTTCATGTCAGCCATCTTCCCGTTGGCAACAAACTCTTCCCGACCTCTCCGTGATCCACCATTCAGCACCAGTCCTTGTGAATTTCTTTGGGCCCTGGATGGAGCCTGAGGGGTGGCCAGGCGTTCCTCAACATTTTTGCACATTAGCAACCTAGAAATGCAAGTCCCAGGGGGCAGGTTCAGTTCTTAAATCATGAAAATATGGACTTAGTAGAGTTCTTGGTAAATGCAAACCATTCACTCATATCTGGTCCTGTGCAGATTACACACTGTAAGTGTGTAATACGTACATATCAAAAAGGAATGATGAGCGTATAGCCATAGAGAGTCCTACAGCACAGAGACAGGCCCTTTAGCCCAAATGGGTCCACGCCAATCTGTTGGCTGTTACTGTTAAGACTTCCATGCATGTCCATTCGTATCATGAATTATGACTGGTTTACGCACAAAAGCACAAAATGCATGCGCATTTGCAAATTCATCTACACACACATACGTACACACAAGCTTGCCAGTGCTCAATGCAATCTCTTTTTCGTTACTATGCTTCAACATGTACACCTTTAATGGTGCAAGGACATAGGAGGCTATCCTGTCAAAAAATTCTTCGCTGCCCATACCTCCCACGATATCCAAAAACCAGGAAGAGAACACAGAAGATAATGCAGGTGACACCGATGTGGGTTCCAATGATAATGCCAGTTGTCGATGTTTTGCTGCTGTGTTCCTCTTTCAGACAGTCACATGGAGTGTTCAGGACTGTAACACAGAATGCCTTTCATTAATGAATATTACATGATTATTCCCTTGCTCTCCTGGAAAAGATACAAGAATAAACTTGTTATCCTGATGTGACAATTTTTCCCTCATCTGCAGCTTCCAACCCTTCTCCCTATTGCAGCCTTTACCTCGATTTTGTCAGCATTGATACAGTCACTCTAGGCCTTTTCTCTTTCATCAGTCCTGAATGCCATGTCACACTCTCTTTTGTCTAAGTACACTTTAACATCAAGACTCAACCTTATAACAATTTCAGAAACTTTTTGCCTTCCTGAGTCTTTCCTTCTTCCAACAATTTACAGATGCACAAAACCTGAGCCATGTGCCCTCTCGAATTCTTGTTTCCATGTGTCTCCTACCCAAGTTTGATAGGCTACATTGCCTTCTTAGAACATAAGACCTGAGAATAGGAGTAGGCAATTCAACCCCTCAAGCCTGTGCTGCCATTTAATTTGTTCATGACCGATCTCATCTTGGCCTCAACTCAGCTTTCCTGCTCATTCTCCTTCACCGTTCAACCTGTTATTGATTAAAACTCTATCTCCTCCTTAAATCTACTCAATGTCCCAGCATCCACCACACTCTGGGGTAGTACATTCCACAGATTCACGACCCTTTGAGAGAAGTAATTTCTCCTCATCTCTGTTTTAAATCTGATACCCCTTATCCTAAAACTATGACCCTTATCCTAGATTGCCCCACAAGGAAACATTCTTTCTATGTCGACTTTATCAATCCCCTATAGATCTTATATAACTCAACCAGATCTCCTCTCGTTCTGCTAAACCTCAGAGAGTATAGGCCTAATTAGTCAAATCCTTCATTTCTCAAATCAATTTCGTGTACATCCTCTGAATTGGCTCCATTGCAATTACATTCCTCCTCAAGTAAGGGGACCAAAATTGTATGCAATACTCCAGGTGAGGTCTCATGGCCACTTTGTACACTTGCAGCAACAAGACCCTGCTTTTATATTGTTTTCTTTTAGCAATAAATACCAAAATTCCTTATTACCTGCTGCACATGCAAACCAGTTTTCTATGATTTATGCACGAGGACACCCAGATCCCTCTGCATCAAAGTACTCTGAACGTTTTCCTCATTTAGATAATAAGTTTCCTTTCTTTTCCTCTGACCAAAATGGATAATCTTACATTTATCCATGTTAATCATCATCTTGAGTTACTAAATACTGGATTCCGCTGGCTATGATAAACCCATCATTGGAACAGTTGTTATAATTTTTAATAACTGCATTTCCACATTGCTTAATCAAGTCAAATAGAATCTCAACTGAGTGGCTCCTAAATGTTTTCACCCAGGCACCACATGGTGAGGCAAAATGCCTTGTGGACTACTTATTGATCTGAACCCACTCTCTTGTATTTGCCACTGCCACAAACTCCTCACAGTCACGTCTTTAAGGGGTGAAATCTGCCATCTTTGTCTGGTCTGACCTTCATGTGAGTCCAGATCCACAACAAGATGACTGACTCTTAATTTCCTGCTCCAACGGCATAAGAAGCCATTCAGATCGAGGATAATTAGAGATGGTCAACAAATGGTGAACTTACCAGTGTTATGCACATTCCATGTAAGAAGAACTGATGGGAAGTGCATTACTAATTTTAATGAGACACCAATGAGGTGATCTCTGATGTGAGCTGGAGAGCTTCAGTCTCAATGTTGGGCTGTGTGTTCAGCTCTATTGTTTTCAGCTCGACTCCGCCCCTCAACCGGGTGTTAGAAATTTCAACTGATAGTTGTATGGTCTAACAGTGAAACATAGGAACGCTGGACTTAGCAAATGGTGTAGGTCAATAGCCCTTTGAGTATTAATCTGGCTTGTAAAACTACACCGTCATTGATGACTTGTGCCGCACAAGTGGAAGCCAGTCTGGTTGTAGGATCCCACACAATTAGTCAGGATGAGGGTTTGGCCTGTTCTTGTGTACGGCTTAGCCATAGTGTTATGCAGACAACACTTTCAGATTAGAGATAGTAGGAACTGCAGATGCTGGAGAATCCGAGACAACAAGGTGCAGGGCTGGATGAACACAGCAGGCCAAGCAGCATCATAGGAGCAGAGAGGCTGACGTTTCGGGCCTAGACCCTTCATCAGAAAAGGGGGAGGGGAAGGGGGTTGTGAAATAAATAGGGAGAGAGTGGGAGGCGGATAGAAGAGGGATAGAGGAGAGGATAGGTGGAGAGGAAACAAACAGGTCGAAGAGGCGGGGACGGGGCCAGGAAAGGTGAGTGTAGGTAGGGAGTTAGGAAGGGGATAGGTCAGTCCAG